AAAAAAAAAAAAAAAAAAAAAAAAAAAAAAAAAAAAAAAAAAAAAAAAAAAAAAAAAAAAAACTAAAAACAACAAATAAACAATCTTGGAAGCTATATGAAGTTGCTACCGATGGCTAGATGTATGTCTATTGTGCACAGATACCTTTAATTACTTGACCAGCGCCCAGCTCAAACTCAATGGGGTCACCCCTTTCAAAACTAGAGTCGAAAACAGTCCCATCTGTGAGCTTCCCCTGTTAAATCAACTAGGTTAAGACTTCGAATGCAAAACTGAACACAATCATATAAGTGAAATCATCAATTTATCATGTCTGTTTAGGCTGCAACTGGTTTCTTATTCATTTCAATTAAGCAATATATCATTCCTTCAAATAAACAGAAAAATAAAGCTTGGATCCAATTCAAATTCTGTAGTCTAGTAATCCAGCTAATTATTTTTATTTATGAACAGTCTAGATCATGAAATTAAGAGCCCCGATTATCTTGCTGAGGCAATATCTTATCTTCCTAGCTCTGACATCCCCCCAACTCTTCCTTGATGAGGCATTAACAAATTGAACGTTATGAACATAAAGGCAAGAGTCAAACTAAGTTATTAATGCAACTTACACGATAGTGAACTTTGATTCTATCACCTTTATGAGCTTGAATGTCACAAGATGCTGGCCTACCCTGCAAAAAAAAAAAAAAAAAAAAAATGGAAAAAACAGCGCAATGACGGTCTCAGATGAATTTTTTGGTGGAGAAGATAACATATTCGAATCAAACTAAATTCATATTAAGACAAGGGGAAAACCCCATCTCATAAATTGATCGCAACACAAACCACCATCCAAAAGTTAACACAATCTAACCCAGTTTACAATTTTCATTGGACATTTGGATCTTATTTTAATCATTACTACTGTGTCAATGACCATAAAGCTTTTACTAGACTAGAACAACCTGTAGAACACAAAATCCCTTCATTAATACCCAAGATCTTTAAATTCCTATCAAATGTGAAGAGTTCCAGACAGAATGGAGGCTAAAATGCACGAGAAAACAAAAATCCATCTCTGAAATCACAGCATAAACAAGTACATTACCGTAACGCCAATCTGTAACTCAGTCACATCTTTAACCGTCTTCGCATAAACTGAAAATCAATCGAAACCCCAAAAATGAAATCCATCAAATAGATCGAATGAACGAAACCCAATTTATGATGAACTACAATCAGATCTAATACAACAGTTGAACATACCTAAAGTGCACGCAATCAAGGAGAGAAAAACTAGAGACGCCTTCATTTTTCGTCTTCAAATTGTTCTAAGAAGAAGCCGATTATATTTTCCAAGAAATTTTGTTTTTTAACCCAAGAATTTGGCTGATGTGTCATCAATATAGATTGACGCGTCAAAAGAAGCTGTGATTGGGCCACGTGTCAACAACCTCGTCGTATCAACCAATCATAAAATAATAAATAAAGGCGATTTTATTAGACTCAATTTTATTTTTTTATCCGTGCCGTGCAATTATTTAAAACACGCAAATAATAATAATTATAATAATTTGATTTTCAGTCTTTTTTTAATTCTTATAATATTCATATAGTTTGGTCAATTTAATATTTAATCTCGTGTGTGAAAAGGTTTATACGAAGTCCTCTAAGGAAGGATCATCTAAATCTTCAACCAAATAATCGAATAATTAAAAATTATATTAAATATTTAAAATAGTCGAAATTAAATAAATAAACATAACTAATCTATCGAGATGATATAATCCAAATTATAATATATGTTTTTTTATCTTATTTATTTATTTTTTCCTCCTTATTTAATATAATAAATGACTTAATATTCTAATATTCATATTTTTTATTTGTATGAACGATAATATATTTTTTTATATAATGAATTGAATGTGTCGGACAAAATAGAAAATTAAATATTAATTTATATTAACCGTATAAAATGTAATTACAAGAATAAAATAAACTTTTTACGGAGTGTAATTACGAAAAATAATTTAACCTAAAAAATAACTAATAGTCATATTCACACCTAGCCTAGCAAGGCTTTGAATAAGGCTTCGAAGGTCTTCCATGTGGAGAACCTCCAATGCAGCCTTGGTCTTCTCAACTAACCCTCCAACGGTAAAACCAGACTCGATCACCAAATCCATGGCTTTTTTCACAGCTTCAAACCAACCAGATGCTGAAGAGCTTGCCACTCCCAGACCCAACTCGGCCACCTTCTCCACCAAGCTCTCAACAATCCCTCGCACCCCTCCCATGGACGAACCAGTCCCCTCCAATAAGCCCTTCAGCATCCCCACTAACTTTCCCATGGCTGAACCCGGGTCGTTCAAGAGAGCAGAAATGCTCGTCATTGCAAACCCGAACACCCCGCCTGGTTAATCACCACTAAACTTAAAAACGTAAGGAAATAACCGAGAATATTTATTTGTTTTGGTTTCCCCAAAATGTTTTATTCGTTACTTATAACCCATGATCAATCCTCAACTGAGCCTCGAGATGGTTGGGAGGGAGTCCCACGATCCTGGGCTTATAAGTAAAGAAGATACTAAGCATTTTGGGAAAACTCAAAGCAAAATCATAAGAGCTTATACTTAAAGTGAATGTTATATCATTGTGGAGAGTTGTAATTCTTAACAGAGCATACCTGCAGAAGAAGTGGCGGTTTCCAAAACACGGTCAAGGATCTTACTCGAAACGAACCCGATAATCTCGCGCACTAGTTCCAACAAAGACCCTTCCCCAGAAGCCTGAGGCTTGTCCAAAAGGCCACCAAACACGGAGCCAAGCTCACCAAAAGAACCAAAAACCACATTCTTCAGAGCCCCCAACACAGCCATCAAAAAAGAGCCTATAATTCCCAGACCCATCTCAACGCTGCTTACAAAAACCCACTTCAAGGCATCAGCAAGGCTCTGGAGTGCACCGAGAGAGGCCTCTGCAGGGGGCCTAAGGGCGTTGAGAAGGGAAACAAGAACACAAGGTGGGGCCTTGAAGAACAGGCAAAAAACCAAAGTGGGCAAGGAGTTGAGGCCATTAATGAGGAGCTTTAGCGATGGGATTAGAAGGAGGAGGAGGAGAAGAGTTGAAGCTAAGCAAGGAATGCAAGAAGAAGACATTTGGAGTCAGTTTTTCTCTCTCTTTCTCTGGTTTTTTTTAGAGTTTGAACTTTGAACACTTCTATTGTTTGGTGGTTAACAATGAGAACTTGGCATTAAATTATGTGCATTAATAGTTTTTTTAAGTCATGGGTCAATTTTTGTTCTTTATGTTAGCACTATTGTAAGGTAGAACGAAGGTTCCAAATGTCGTATCGTCTCGATAATTTTAGAAAAACGTCGATGTGGAAGAAAACTCAACACAAAAGTATAGTTACCCGTCATTTTTTATAAATAAAAAATATAAGTAATATTTATACGAGTCAAAGTGGGTACGTGAATGAATCAATACTACATTCGAAACAAAACGATCTCGATGATAGAATGACTAAAAAATGTTTAAAAGAATTGAAAGTCACCATCTATATCAATAAAGTGCACCTTCATTTTCGGTAGTTCAATCATAAGAATGTTTTGTTTGGAACAATTTTATGTTGGGTAATCTCTTAAAATTTTTCTTAAGATGCATGTGAATGAAAACAAAACATGCTAAGAAATTTCGTGTTGATTTGTGGGAATAATATAACTATGTTGCACGGGATGCAGAGGAATATCAGGGTCATTAGGTGGCTAATTTAGGAAATGATCATAGATTTATAAGTGAGAAATATTATCTCCATTCATACGAGACCTTTTGGGGAAGCGTAAAGCAAAGTCATGAGCACTTATGCTCAAAGTGGACAATATCATACAATTGTAGAGAGTCGTGTTCGTCTAACATAACTAATATGAGCAAAGCCATTGGAAATGATGTCTTTTAAAAGGTCCAAAACCCGACTAGATCGATTAATATAAATTTTTTTCTAGCATAATGTATAAATTGAATAATTCGACCTAAATTTATATTATATATATATATATATATATATATATATATATATTTTTTTTTTCAAAAAATTAAAAAATCATGTATAGTTTCTATTAAAAAATTGAATATATTTTATTTATAAATATTATATTTTTCATTATTAGCTAAATTAAAGACGAAGAATCCCGAGTTATGAACAGGTCGCTTTGACGAAAGGTTTGATTACCAATTCGCGGCAAAAAACCAAAAACTTTGATATGAACAAACTCTCCGAGAAAATCCCGACCTCGAAGTATTCCAAATCAAACTCTCTGAATCTCTCTCAGTTCATCCCACACTACACCCGAAATCATTCCTCAGAAACAATCCCTTTCCTTCCATTAACGATCTCTCTCGAGTTTCCCCTCTTCTTACTCAAGAAAAGCATCTCAATCTTCTTCTATATCTCTCCATCCATGTCTCAATCAATCCCCCATTTCTCTACACTCTCCAATGGCTGCCCAACAACCTACAGTCTTCACCCCGGTGACCTTCTCCAAGTACACCAAGCGGGTTCTTCTCAGAACTGTGTTCGAGAGTGGCGATGGCGGTCTGGGGTTTGTGGATCGGAAATTGGTGGTCGGAGGATGGGTGAAGTCCTCCAAGGAAGTCATTGGAGATGCTGTTCGGCCGCTGGTCGATGCCAGTGTTAAGGCGGCGGGTGATGTCCTGCCGCTGAAGGCTAAGGATGCGAGCTGTATTGAGATTGTACAGTCGCGGATTCCGATTGTTAGGTCTTTGCTTAGGATGCTGTATGGAAATAATTTACACGGCGGTGAGAAGTTGGAGACGAATGTTCATGAGCCGCCTCTTCCTTCCACTGCTTTTCTGGTCGTTAATGATGGCTCTTGTGTTGCAGACCTTCAGGTTCCTCTAATTTATGCACGACAACTGTTTGTTATTTTGTTATGCGTACAGGACTTGACTAACTAAGAAACTTTCAGGTTGTTGTGGAGTCCTCGTTACATCAGCCTATCCATCTGATGCCATCGGGAACTTGCATTTTGGTGGAAGGCATATTGAAGCGGATACCAGTACCTGGGAAACATACTGTCCGGCTTGAAGTGGAGAAAATCCTTCATGTAGGGAAGGTTGAAAAGGAAAAGTATCCATTATCACAGAAAAGGATTCCAATGGATGTTTTGAGGAAATTTTCTTATTTTCGTCCTCGAACTTCTACGGTAATATGCACAAGCTTCAACTATACATTGCATTTAGTTCCTGTTTTTTGGTTCTGTCTGCATGCCTATCATCAGAGCGCCTATTAGTCTTAAAGATCGACATCGGTTGGAGAGGGAAACGAGCCTATTAGTCTTAAGATCAACATCGGTTGGAGAGGGAAACGAGCCTATTAGTCTTAAGATCGACATCGGTTGGAGAGGGAAACGAAGCATTCTTTATAAGGGTGTGGAAACCTCTCCCTAACAGATGCATTTTAAAAACCTTGAGGGGAAACCTGAAAGGAAAAGCCCAAAGAAGGCAATATCTGCTAGCGGTGGGCTTGGGCTGTTACAAATGATACTAGAGCCAGACACTGAGCGGTGTGCCAGCGAGGACGTTGCCTCAAAGGGGGTGGACACTAGGCCGTGTGCCAGTAAGGACACTGGGCACCGAAGGGGGTGAATTGTGAGATCCCACATCAATTGGAGAGAGGAATGAGTGCCGGCGAGGACGAATGGCCTCGAAGGGGGTGGATTGTGAGATCTCACATCGGTTAGAGAGGGGAACGAAACATTCTTTATAAGAGCGTGGAAACCTCTTTTTAGCAGATGCGTTTTAAAAACCTTGAGAGGAAGCCTGAAAGGGAAAGCCGAAAGAGGACAATATCTGCTAGTGGTGGACTTGGGCTATTACAACGGTAATATGCACAAGCTTCAATTATACATTGCCAATGGAGATGTATTCCTTACTTATAAACCCACGATCATCCCTTTAATTAGCTAATGTGGGACTCTCTCCCAACAATCCTCAACAGAGCTCGGGTGACAAAACGTGAGAAGAGAGTTTTGTACCTTTGATCAGAACAATTGGATCTTGATCTTCATTGATACTCTTTACTTTATGCAGGTAGCATCTGTTATGAGAATTCGTAATGCCTTGACTTTTGCAACTCACACGTTCTTCCAAAATCATAGCTTTCTTTACGTGCAATTACCCACTATCACGACCACAGACAGTGAGGGATTCAGTGAAAAGTTCCACGTTACAACACTTGCGACTAAATTAGCAGGTAAGAGAGTAGAACCAACAGAAGATAAAGAAACTGATGGTGTAAGTCTTGAAACTGTTAAGGCTGCTGTAATGGAGAAAAGCAATCTCGTCAAAGAGCTTGAGAGAAGCGAAGGCAACAAAGAAGCCTTAGCTGCTGCAGTTCAGGATTTAAAGAGAACAAATGAACTGGCATTACAATTAGAAGCCAGAGGAAAATCAAAACCCGAATCGAGCAAAGATAAAGTTAACTTCCATGAAAATTTCTTCCCACAAGAAACTTATCTAACAGTTTCTGGACAACTCCATTTGGAGACCTATGCTTGCGCCCTTGGCAATGTTTATTCGTGTGGACCGAGGTTTCGAGCAGATAAAATCGAGTCTGCAAAACATGCAGCTGAAATGTGGATGGTGGAAGTTGAAATTGCTTTTGCTGAACTCGAGGTACGAATTTATGATCTTTTTACTTATTCCTTCAGATTGCTTATTATTTGACATCTAAATTATGGATTTAAGTTTCCATGTTGATTTAGCCATTAAAATCTTAATGTTATTTTCTGTGATTAGTGGTTGTTTATAATATCATTGCACCACTGAATGAAGAAGTCCATCTTTTAACTTACATTTTGTATCATCATTGGGACTCTAGGATGCCATGAACTGTGCTGATGACCTTGTAAAATTCCTCTCCAAATGGGTATTGGACCACTGTGTGGATGATATGAAATTTGTTGAAAAACGAATTGACAAGACGAGCATTCCACGCCTTGAATCGTTTATATCATGTTCGTTCGAGAAGGTCTCTTACACTGCGGCAATAGAAAGTCTGGAAAAGGTGAAATCCTGATTATCACTTGTATCATTTGACTCAGTTTTTCATTTCTACCCCTGCCCACATGAAATATTGAAAGGAAAAAAAAATCTTCATTGTCAGGCAACACCCGATCAAAAACATCAACACTTGAAGAGCCTTAAATTTGGTGCTGCTTTAACTGCTGATCATCTCAGGTATGCAAAATGTGCTATTACAGTCCATAAGCAAAATGAGTTCTTTATTTTTCATTTTTTTCTTCATTTTACATGAAACAGTTATCTGGCTGATACCATCTATAAAAAGCCTGTGATAGTATACAACTACCCAGAAGGAACCAAGCCATTTAATGTGCGCCTGAATGATGATGGGAAAACTGTGGCGGCATTTGATGTAGTTCTTCCAAAGGTTAGCACATGGGCATGTATATCGACTCTTGGGAGTATTTATTTTTGGTTGGATCATCCTGTATTGAATGAAAAATTGTTTCTTAAACTGGCACCCAACTGTTTGTAGGGTGGAGTAGTAATTTCTGGCAGCCAAAAGGAGGAGCGTTTAGATGTATTGATGAGAAGGTATGATATTTTACTATACATGTGTCATCGTTTTTACTTGCAATGTCGTCGTCAGCCGTACAAGGGTGCCTTGTCTTTACTTGAAAAATAGCACATGACTTGAGTATAAATCGTTAAAACTATGATAGAGGTAGTTTCCAGTCTGGACAAAATTGGATGTGTAGTACTTCACTACACACGACCCACACGACCCACATGTTCTAATTTTACTAGTTTTGCGACACTCCGAAAGTTTTCTAAACGCTCATGAAAAAAAAATGGGAGTTATTGATATCTGTTTTAATATGGTTGTTGGCAGGATGGGGGAGATGGGGCTGCCAAGGGAGCAGTACGAGTGGTACTTGGATATCCATAGGCATGGAGCAGTGAAGCACTCCGGTTTCAGTTTGGCATTCGATCGTTTCCTTCTGTTTACTACTGGTCTCACTGACATCAAAGATGTTATTCCATTTCCAAGAAGTTTTGGAAAGGCCAGCGATTAAAAGGAATCAATTGCTCTAAAATATTTTATGAAGCAGTTGGCTCATATCAATGGTGATGCCCAAAAAAGTGTGTTCATGTAGAAACCCAAAGAAAAAATGGCATCTTTTAGGAGATTTGTGTTTGTTTATTGCTAAGATTTGTTCTTGTACATAAAAAAAAAAAAAAAAAAAAAAA